GTTGGCCCCCCAGGGGGCGTCTAAAAGCGCCGTCTGGGGATGAGCCGACGAAAAATGGCCCTATGGGCGAGTCGGTCCCCAGCCGTCGGCCCCCAGGGCCGCCCCAGGCGCGTATTAAAATAAAAAAAGAAGAACCGCTTAGTGAAGTTATGATAAAAACTAGTTAAATTTCGGCCAAACATGGCAAATTTCGATGAAATTCGCGCATTTTCATTACATTAACCTAATCTAAAAAAGAAAGGGGCTGAAGTCGTCGCCGCCGTCGCCGCCATCGTCGTCGTCGGCCTTCTCCTCCTTGACGCGGGCGCCCCTGCTGGACCCCTGCCCGGCGTCGCCATGGCGGACTGGCGGCGGCGCGTCGTCGTCGTCGTCGCTGTCGCATAAGACGGCGACCCCGTCTTCATCGCGGCCGCGTCGGCGCTCCTCGAAGCGGCGCAGGGCGGCGCGCTGGCGCTCCTTCTCCTTCTCCCGGCGCGCCTTCTCCATCGCAATGGAGTTCTGGCGCGCCCATTCTAGGGCAGCGTCGTCGTCGTCGAACTCCGCCTTCACCAGCGCCAGCCCCGGCTCCATCTTTGGCTTGACGAAGCGCGGAGAAGCCGACGAGGAGGAGGCACGCCGGCCACCCTCGTTGATGACGATGCCGACGCTGCGAGTGCGCCGACCGATTGGCGTCTCCGTCGCGGGCTCGGCCTTGACGCCGAGAAGCGCCGGAGAACCGGAGGAATGGGAAGATGAGCGAGAGGAGGAAGACGAGGAGGAGGCGAACCTCCTTGGCGCCCATGCGCGTCGGTGTTGCGACGGGGCGGCCCCCGTCGCAGGATAGGTCAACGGCGGGTTGTTGTCGCCGTCGAGGTACGCCAGCACGCCATCCAGCGTGCGACCGGGGACGCCCCACCACAGGTAATTTATACTATCTGCTCCTGCCGAACGGAGACAGCCTGAATTAAGGCCTCTTTGATTCATATGATTTTATTGTCATGACATCTTTAATCCTACAAGATTGTACTCCCTTCGTTCCAAATTACTCGTCGTGGTCTTAGTTCAAATTTCGTCGTGGTTTTAGTTCAAACACGACGAGTAATTTGGAACGGAGGGAGTAGCTAGTAGGAATCAGCAAGTAATGTTTGATGCATCATAGGAAAGTCGCAGAAATTTGAAAAAGAAGTTTTGAGTGGATTGTAATTCGAGACTGGATTTCCTACTCCCGGGAGCAGCCACACCTCTCCCCCTCTTCAATCTCAAGTTGATGGTGGATGTCCAAGTACTCCAAAGCATTAACGACTGCACTCTGAACATAAGCATAAAACTATAAAAATTCAGAATCTCACGCATAGCGGAGTTCCCAGACCAATAAAACAAAGGATTGTCGAAGCACAACCCAAATCATTCCGAGCTCCTCCTCTAAATCGACAGAACAACCCTAAATCGATGCTCCCTGCTGCTTCAAGGTGAGTATCGTGTCGTTGCTTAATGTTTATCTTGATGTGGCGAGGTGAGATGGGATCGATGTATCCACAAATGGATCATGTTATGAACAAATATTTTGTTATTGCAGCCTGCCGGCCACTATCTGTTTTAATTTGCTGGGACGTGAAACTGAACACCTGATCTGTATCGAAGCAGGCTCCATGCCTCCATGAACTGATCGACCAAGCAATTTAAAGGTACAATAAGGATAGATTTGAAAATCTAACACAAGGGGCGGTGGCGCAGTTGGCTAGCGCGTAGGTCTCATAGCTAAAGCGAGTGATCCTGAGGTCGAGAGTTCGAGCCTCTCTCGCCCCAAACTTTTTGAAGTTTCCCTTTTATTGAGTTTTTTTATTTAAACTTTTTTCCTCCAACCATCCTTTCTTCTGAAATAAAAATTTCCGCTCGCTGAATTTTGTAAACCTGTAGCAGGTTGAAATTTTCCTTTTTTGGACATTTTTTATTTATTTTTTTTCCTGCAACCAACCTTTCTTCTGGAATAAAAATTTTCCAGTCGCTGAATTTTCTAAACCTGTAGCAGGTTGAAATTTTCCCTTTTTGGACATTTTTTATTTAATTTTTTTCCTGCAACCAACCTTTCTTCTGGTTCTGGAATAAAAAGATTTCACTCGCTGATTTCTCTAAACCTGTAGCAGGTCTGGTGCTTGTTCGTGTGTAATTGCACGAATTTCGCACCATTCATGCTGCTCTGTAGCAGGGCGAGTCTTTTCCTTGCAAACTGAAGCTGGCAAGACAGCACCCGCATAGCTGCACCCACTCAGGCAGGCCTCAGGTCTTGACAACCAAGTTGAAACCTCCAGATTGCAGGTTGGCAAGCTGGCTGGCAAGAACACCGATTGATTCGCCTCGCTCTGCTTGTTTAACTCTAGAACATGTGCTCCTTCTTTCTCATGGAAAGATTATCGTGTTTTTCAATCGCAAAGACATCATTAGAGGGGACACAACGATGACGGGAAGGGCTAGAGCATTGGATCTTGATACATATGGGGTATCCCTTCTCTTCAGAATCAAACCGAGCACAACAACATATACAATGCATAATTTTTCAAAATACATACACACATGGTAAGACTTTGAGCGCCACATGACACATCAGTATATGATCAAAAATCAATGTAAGGGAGAAAATTTGTAACAATTCTCAGTTGTACATGACATGCTAGCTGGCTCATCACCGCCAGAGAAACAAAAATGAAATTAAAAAAGGAATCTTGTGTATTTGTTTTCTTTTTGTATAATAATATATGGCTTTATTATTATGTAATGGTTGCATAATGATTTGCGCACACATCACATTAAAATAAAAAACAGTGACAAAAAAGATTCCAACAAAGACAAAAATTCACAAGCATGGGCAATGAAATGGGAAACAAGACAAGGACGAAGATTTATTGCTATATTTTGTAGATGGCTCCTACAAGCAAATATGATTCTCCTACTTGCTCCCTCCGGTGATTTTTCTTTTGGTTCATCCTCTTAATTTTTTCTTCTCATCATAAGATCGATATAATTGTTTTTATCCCCATGCATACGTCCATGATTTTAAACGGCGCAAACAAAAAATTGACATGATGATGGTCGATTAAGTGAGGTGACCAGTATTCCATATAGTGTCTTGGGTGCTCCATGCCAGCCGTTATATTCCTGTCCAGGAATACAAATGGAGAAATACCGCGAAAAAGGTTGCTCTTCTTCCATAAAAGTGTACTCAGTCAAAAAATAATAATAATGCAATTTGGCTATGTGCATCGTGTGATGCAGAAGTCGAGAATTATTATTTTCTGTTGAATCACTTATAGTGGGTATATATAATTGCTTTTATCACTACGTAGCTGTTCCAAGATGATTTGCATACCCATCCCATCACAAAAACAATGACAAAAATGCCACAACAGCTAGGAATACTTACAAACGTGGGCAGTGAAAATGGGAATCTAGATAGCCAATGGCCAAGATTTGTTTTTGCGTTACGATCAAAGATGTTTTCTTTCCTGGTGATTCATAAGATCCCAAAAGAGTCTCTAGTGATTTTCTTACTCCCTTCTTCACACCACGGGGGTGTACGAGTTTTACTCAGGTTATACAAATATAAATGTCTACAAGTAATGTATAATATGGCCCTTGAATAAAATTTAAAGGAACAAAAGGCCTATTAGCTCAGCTGGTTAGAGCGTCGTGCTAATAACGCGAAGGTCACAGGTTCGAGACCTGTATGGGCCATTAAATTTTTTTTGTTTTCTCTTTTTTTTGTGCACAATGGAAAAAACAAAAAAAAAACTTGATGGCTTCGCCCGGGTTCGAACCGGAGACCTTCAGTGTGTTAGACTGACGTGATAACCAACTACACCACGAAACCATAATGATCAGGTAATTAAGTTCCCCTAGAAGGTCATACAACTGATATATACGATGCTCAAATAATGCTCCACTGGTTCATAAGAAGAAAAAATATACGATGTCAAGAAAATTAGTTTCACACAAGTATCACAGCCCAACCAGCAATTTATTTATAGCTGGCCAGCTGTCACTGAACTATTGTTTTTTTCCAAGCAAACTCTTCCCGTTTACAGTGATCCAAAGAATTTTCTGTCAGACATAATGGCACGCAGAGAAGCCGAATTCCACACTCCGCCCATCCACAACCAACCGATTTATTCAAATTGTAGCATCCATCGTGTAGCATGTCTATTACGTACATGGGTGAGATTGCACCCTACATTTTTCACTCTACATCTATACAACTTATCTAGAACTATAAGTAACAACTTAATATGTCTCTTTTCTTTTCAATTTTTTGGTGTCATCAAGTTGAAAAGATGATGCTGTCGCTGCAAAATAAGAAAGGGACTTTACCTGGCCTCGTTAGATCTAATATAGCCAGTGTTCTGGACACAAATATAACATTGGTTGAAAAAAAACACTAAGGCTCTACTGTTAGATGGAGAGGGGGGGAATGGTTCAAAAGAGGTCGTCACAAGAATCTGCTGCAATGTGCAAGAAATTCACATGTATTCCCAGATTCTTCCACATATGACGCGTGCTCTCTTGATAAGTTTCGGTTTTTTGTTCAAATTCGAACAAACCCTAATATATCAAACATCAGTTGGTTCTGAATATATCTGAAATTTGATTATGATTGGAGGCACTAGTTGAGCCCCCTTATGAGACACACAACATGTGGTTTTATAGGTATATATGCTGCTCAAGAAATGAATCAAAGGCTGGCTAATTACAACAGCCCGGGAAGATAAATAAAATATTGACTGACATTTGAACGATGCCGGCCAGATGTCATCAGTGTACGTACATACGGGTAAGAGGGGATGTATCATTCAAGGACACCCAGCAAGATTATTATCCATCTGTTAGTTGGCACAAAGTTTAAACAGAAAATTTGACGCCTTCATCGTCCGCTGAAGTGCCCTTAAAGATAACCGCCTTTCCCTTTTGTTCCAACAGCCTCAAAGCTCGCATCAGGACACCGCGATCAATCCCCGCAAGTTCTGCAACACATGCCACAGGATAAAATGAGGATTCAAACTAGCCACAATTAATACGATAAGACAAATTTTATTTATTATGAGCAAGGGGCAGGCATGGCCTATGCTATGTATCACTCCTCTTTTTTGCACATTATGTATGGCCTATGCATTACTGACGAGGCACTGCCGCCAACTTATGTTATGGCATAAGCTTCGGTTGCATCGTGGCGTGATACAAGCAGGAATAGGGTTTTCAGAGGATAACCTCTGGTTTATTCGTTCTTCGTATAACACAGATTATCCCTGGCTTTATAGAACAGTCATACCTAAAAGGAAAACTGTAACTGCATAATTCCAATAGATTCTTGTCAAATTAACCAACCAGGGAATCAGAAAAAAAAATAACTTATCACTAAAACTAGGATTAGCTAGACGGCTCCTCCTGAGGCTGGTGGCGGCTACAATAATGCGAAATCCACATGACAAGTTGGGTAAACATTAAAATATTTATCCAACAACTAAGTCTATATCCTATATGTATATTACCGTTTCTACCGCAAATTGCTTTCATCAAGCAAAACCATTAGCATAACAAAAATATTAAAAATGGTAAATCTAATCTCATCACCATCAAGTTTGTATACTTACCGGTCCCATGTGTTTCAATTCCAGAACGTATATCTTCAATTGTTGTTACTTCCAACCCATTTTCCTTGACCTACAAGCATATAACACAGAGACAAATATTAAGTCACTGCCACTATTCATTGATAACCTGATAGCTTCGAAAGGAGCATGTTTAATAGCATACAAAGTCTTACAAAGTCTAATATGTAGTTAGCCCAATCTTGAATCCGCAGCCAAAGGATGAGACACTTCTTGTGACCTTTGTCCATCCACTCTGCGCGACCTGCAGGTTGAACTTAGCGTTAAGTAGTTTCACAACACAAAACTAAACACAGGCCAGGGATAATAAAAGCATCCCTCATCTAGAAAAACAAAACTACACACAGCTAAAACAATAACTAAAAGATTTCATGTTGTGCAGAATAAACCTTCACTAACAAGAGCTGCAAGGAAAGCTTCCTTTGCTTCATAGCTTAGAGATCCTGAATAATATAAAGCATGTAAGTTCAGTGCAACGTCAATAGAAATGTCCGAATGCATAATAAACTAGTCGAGTAAATTAAATTTTCATGTATACACTAGTCCGCCATGCTCAAAAGGCTCCATGGTAGGCCTTAGGAACACATTACCATCATGCCAGATCACTATGACATAACATTTTTAGCACAGCAAGACATTTTGTTTCTGAAATGCAGAAGAGTAGTAGTCAAAACACAAGGTTCAGATAAATACGACTTACTCTCAATCTTTGTATTGGAGAACAACGGAAAATCTTCTTCCAGGGAGATTATATACATCTTTTGACTTCTACAGTAATCAAGTATCAGCTCTTTCCATAGCTGCACTTGCTTTTCACGTGTTTCTCTCACAGGCTGCAAACTGGTAACAAATATTGTCATGATATTATTATCAGCCCATGTACATATCTAAATAAGTGTTTAACAGAAGCTTTCAGAGTTAGTTTTAAGATGACATACACAAAAGATCCCTTACATTACTCAACCAAATGTAAGAATAAGTAAAGCAAGGAAATGCTTCAACTGTTACACATACTGTTGGGATATGAAAGAACGATGCCAGGTCTCACACTTTGAACCTGATACTGTGTTATAATGGGATGCTATAAAGTAGAGATTTGTGAAGAGAGACAATTGAGATTTAAGCAAAGGCAGATTTTGAAGAAACAAGTGCTTAAGCAGGGACAGAGCCAGTGGGGGGCGTGTTAGATTGTTAGTTCCAAGTGCTTTAAATTTATATGTTTGGCCCCGCTCAACATTTTATATCTTCCATTGCCCCCCTCGAGTAAGATTGCTGGTTTGTTCCCTGTGCTTAAGCTTACTAACATAGTTCCTTTAGTGATCCTGATGTACAAATCCTTCATACATATTCAGTTCTTCACTTACAAAATAACATTAACCACCCCGTGTTTTTCATTTCGAATCTATAAAGTGCCATTTTATGCCTTATTAACAAGGTAGCTCAGAATAAAACAAGGGAAGAGATTAAAGGAAGTTCACATGATTTAGAATGTGCTCACATGGTTTTATGATATATCTGAAGTAGGAATAAATAATTTTAACAAACAAAAGGGCACGTATATACCAAAATCACCAACCACTTTATTGTACAATTTGTCCAATAAATCATTGTCAAACAAATAATTCACTAAAAAGTAATTTCATTACTAGCATAGCACTTGGAGCAGAAGCTGACTGCCCAACTTTGTCACCAGAATCTCCTACTCCTATATGGCTATACATACTGCAGAACCGCAAAACATGCAAAATGTTCAAACATGTGACAGTACTGCTGGAGGAGGGGGAGTGAGATTACGTAAAGTATGGCGGGTAGTTGAAAAAGTGGGGGAGCTTGAAATCCACCGGCCTCTGCATCTCCGCTGAAGTGCGGCTTATGGAGCGGTCGGATGGACGGCACAGCAAAGTAGAAACTTAATATGCCGGCCTGCCTGCCTGCCTCCGTGCCTCGCTTGCTGGCTCCTGACTAGCCTGCCTGTCTCTGTGCCTCACTTGATGGCTGCTGACTAGCCTGCTGCTTGAGACAATGGTGGATCTAAGAATTTAAAACGTGGTGGTCCACCTGAAAAAATTGACAACAAATATGACATGTGAACATGCTCATTATTTAACCAAACAGATAAATAAATCAATATGTTCTTACAGGCACATTAAAGTTCTCAATTAAGCCTCAGTTTTGCATAAAAGAAGCCTACATAGTAGTACATACATACCAATTCTTCAACAAGTCTACTAGAAAAAAAATTACACTCTAGCAGTCACGGTATTCTATCGAGTCAATCATCATTGAACAACAGAAAATGAATCGATCAATATAAGGGTTGAATCAGAAACTGGGGTGTTCGGTAGCTTCTGTAGCGCAGGG